GGCATGTGTGATGCAAACGTCTGGAAAGTGAAGCCATAAAGCTCAATACTTAGGGATTGGAGGCTGGACACCACTACATAGAAAGGACTTTACACGCACCTGACCAAATTTGCTTTTTAAGAAAACCCATCCAGAAAACTAGGTTTTCTTGAAAAAGAACTGTGAAGATCAAAATGTCAGGGACCACATGTACTTCTAAAGAGCTAATGAATGCAAGGAGCAGCTTCTCTCTCAGCCAGAGGCAAGAGAGCTACGACCAGCCCGTGCCCGTGTGACCCATGGCATTGCCCCCGGGACAGCTAGTGTGTGGGGTCTGGAGAATGGAGCCTGGGAGACAGCGCTCCTCAGGTTACTTCTGAAGTAGCCGGTGTGTCACAGAAAACAACCAAGTAGAGAGAGCGACTCCTTCACCGAGCTGCATATGGGGTGACAGTAACATGCATGAGGAGACTTGGGACCTGCAGCCGAGGGTCCAGCCCACCCAGGAGGGGATGGGGGGTCTCAGGGGAAAGAGACGGGCAGAGTGGGGACAGGGACACACACTGAGAGGATCCACACTTTTGACACTGTGGTGGGACAAGGGTGTCCTGAATAAACTCCACACACAGGTCTTAGGGGCCCCATCCCCACCCCAGACCTAAGAGATCAAGACTCCAAGGACTCCGAATCCCACCAGTCACCACCATGGAGGGTGATGCTGGGGCCTGAGGGTGGGTGAGCAGCCAGGCGTGGTAGGAACCAGACACGTGGGCCTTGGGGTGTTTGGTCTTTCTGCGCCTCTCCGTGTGCTCTTGGGGTTCAGCCCAGTGGAACTGGTAGGACACATTCACTAACTCATCTCCCTCTCTTCTCCTTGATTATTCCTTTTTTCACCTCCACTTTTTTGTAAATAAACCCCTTGTGTGTGACTGACAGTGAGTCTTACTATAAATCACGTTAAACACGTGGGTGAGGACCCACAGTCAGGCCAACCCACGTCACATCAAGGTTGCCGTGTAACAACAGCTCTCTACTATTTCACGGTCATGGGGACAATATTATCCCCATGGAGACGAATACAAAAATATTGATTGGCTCCTCTGCTTAATCCACCAATAGCCCAGAGAGATGGAAGCTTCCAAGGAAAACCCAGCTGTGTGAGCAGAATTCTGGTTCCAAATAATCCATGACCCAGTCCCATCAATGTGTAAACGTGTGTCCTGAACAGAGAAAAGATAAATATCCAGGGTGGGCAGAGAGGGCCCTGGAAACAGGGAGGATATTGAGGATCATGAGGAGCCAGTAATGGGGCCCTGACAGCCGGGACCCCGCTCTGTGCTCAGGGTCACATGCGCTGACAGCAGGGCACAGAGAGGCCACCTGGCAGCTGCGTGGACAAAGGGTGGGGACCCCTCAGTGCAGGGCCGAAGTCCCAGGAGAGGAGGTGGCTCCTGGCAGGAAGCAGCTGCCAGACCGGGACTGAGCCCAGGACAGGTCTCAGGCGTCTGCCCTGGACATGTGAGATGACACACTGTGGGGGACACTGCTCAGTGAGGGGGTCAGGGGGGACTGTGTCAGCAGTAGCTGGGTCCCTGATGCCCCATGTTCAGCCCAGGTGTCAGGGGAGGGTCTGAGGGGGCACCAGGGTCCCATGATGTTCCTGGAGATGGAGGACCCAGGAGTGTCACCTGCTGTGGGGGAGATGGAGGGAGAGAGGAAACTGGGGGGCAGGAAGGGAGGGAATGTGGGTGGGGAGAGGAGGACAAAATAAGGAACAGGAGGGAGGACCCAGAGGTTTATCCGTTTGCTGACCAGAGACAGACCCAGACCCTGACTCTGCTGCAGGGATAGGGTCACCCACTAGCCCTGATGACCAGACGGGGGTCCCCGCCCCCTCAGAATGTGCCACACAGGCTCTGAGACCAGTGGCCCAGAGGAGCCCCTGAAATGACTGAATGGGAAGCACAGGCCCCTCTACCCCAGCACCCCAAGCCATGTCACCCCCCCCCCACAGCTATCTGGAAAGGAGGAGACAGGTCACTCCCCACACTCAGGTCAGACACAGCAGGACTCTGAGAGCCCGTGGGGAGAGCTGGAGTTTCCCAACCATGTGAGGAGAGAGGGGGAGAGGAGTCAGGACCCGCACTCACAGACACAAGGAACATCTTCTTGTGCACTTTATGTATCAACATGTGACCTAACCACACTTGCACACTCACTCAGAGATACCACCGTTTCCATCTTGTTTGTTAAATACAAGAGACATGAACTCTGCAGAAGCTGGAATGATGGTAAAGACGAGTCTGTGATCCTCACCGTGTGGAAATGAGCCCCAGGGGCCAAGGAGACCCTGAGGAGGGCCTCACACCCCTGGCCAGGCCACTCCCCACAACACCCTCCCTGTGTCTCAGGGTATGTGCAGGACCATGGAACCCCTGAGCAGGTGAGAGACTCAGGCCCCCCAGGCCCAGCTCTCCCTTCACCAGCTCCCCGACCTCCCTGCAGGCCCCAGTGTCCTGGACACTGGGGGCTGCGGGCCAGTGGAGGGACGAGCTCAGATCAGAAGCAGCTCAACTAGAAGGTCACCGCAGTAATGGCTTTCAGTGCACATTTGCCTGAAATACTTCAAAAAGCCCCACTGCATTTCATTTCAGGCTCGGACAGCACCTGCCGGGCACCAATGAGAGGTGGAGACTGCGCCCTTGGCCGCTCCAGTCCCGATACACCCAGAGGGCGCGTCTCCCACTCGCCCCTCCACTCCTTCCCGTCTCTCTCTCTCTGCCCATATAGACTTTCCTTTCAAAATGTCCCCCCTACTTTTTGGACATGATTACAACCTTTCTAGATTTGTGCTTTTCCAATCTACATAATTATCCTCTAAAAAAATAAGCTAATTAACATTGACCACAAAAATTCAAAGAATTCAGAAAAAGAAGGTGATGGTTCTGAACAGTCATACACGGCTTATCTTGTTACAAAGACACACAACATAAGCAGACACACACAAACAGGATTTTGCTTATAATTGCAGCTATTTCGCAGCCTGCCACCCAGGGGTCCACAAACACCTGCCCTAAAGCACATTTGCTTTCCTCAGCAATCAAAAGGCTGCAGGGAAAATCCAGCTTGGACATGACAGGGCGTGAGGAGACAGAGAACCAAAGGAAACAGGAAACAAAACTACACACTAAAAGGATCCCCCCGCCCCACCCTTAGCAGAACTGACTCATGCAGGCCAGCAGGAGGTCTGGAATCTTCCAGAGATGACACATTCCTGCTCCACAAAGTTCTCATCCTGCTCAGTCTCTCTCACATTGACCCCACTGGCCTCCCCACAGGAAGGACCAGGGGACAAGGGGGTAGAGGGTGTCCTGACCCCACATGACCTGAGGGAGGACAGGGCAGGGGGAGGCAGGTCTGTGCTCACAGGGGCTGCAGGTCTCAGATGGAGGCTCCAGGGTGAGAGGAGACCAGGGTCCCACCCCATCCTGGTGGGTCCCTTATAGAGAAGGGGCAGAGGGGAGGCTGGGGGTGCCCCAGACCTCAGGGCCACTCACCTGCATACAGCTGGGCCTTCCTCCAGCCTGGAAGGGAACACACAGGGGAGACTCAGCACAGCCACCTGGTGTGGGATCCCCGGGCCTGGGCTCCCCCTGTTCTGCAGGAGAGACTCTCTCGGGGGAGGGGAGAGGCTGAGGGTCATGAGATCCTGCCCTGTGCAGACACAGGGGTGGTGGGGATCCTGGCTCAGGTCAGGAGCCTGTAGGACACACTGACCCGCCCTGCCTGCTGCTCCCATGGGGCTTGGGCCAGTCCTGGGCGGCTCTGGGCCCTCAGCCTGCAATGCTCCTGCCTCACCTGCTATTTGGTGTTGCTGCACAACATCAGAAACAGTAAATGGGCAGATGTACTTTTAATGTATATATTAGTCCATAATTGTTATTTTCAGTATTTCCTGGGAAATTAAAAGGAAGATGAAATAAAAACACAGTATGGACATCACACCAGCTCCAGGGGAGAGGGGCCTGCCTTTCTCAGATGAAATATTTCTAGAAATAAACACTCTCTGGGAGATGGCAAGGCCCCCACCCCCGCCCATGCAAGGTCACCCCCTCCTCTCCCATCACTACTGATCAGCATCTTCAGAAAGAGGGAGAACAGACTTCCCTTGGGTCGGTTTGGGGAGAGAGGCAGGAGGTCACAGTCTCAAAGGATTTATGGATCCTTAGAGCAGCTGTTGCTTCCAGGTGCTGACCAAGAAGTAGATATATTACAGTCCAGAAAGCCAGCACATGGTGGGAGGGGCAGGGCTGGATGAGACCAGGATGCAGGAGACCCCAGGGGTCACAGCCTACACAGATCTCAAAGGGTGCTGCTCCCACCAGCTCCCACTCCCTCCCCAGGGGAGGGGCCATGTGTCAGAGCTCAGCCAGACAAGACAAGGGACCCTGGGCCTAGGATGACAGGGACCCAGGACCCCTGTGGCATCACTCACCAGCCATGTAAGAGACCTTCCTCTGGGCTGAAAAGCAACACAGGAGACAGGTGAGCTAAGAGCCAGAATGTCTGCTGAGGGGGCAGAGAGTTCAGGAAGGAGACAGAGCTTACCTAGAATTGCCTGGAGCGCAGCTGAAACAGTGAACAAAATAAATATATAAATAAACTCCACCCTTGTGAGCCTACAGAAACCACAACAAGCCTCTCTGTGTCCTAGAAATTCCAACTAGAGACTCGATTAGTTCAGTCTCCTCTGTCCTCTCTGGGCTCCTCCTCACCTGGTCTGATGTCCCTGGATCTGCTCAGACATACGCTTGCCCCTCCCAGCACCCCCTGCCCACTCCCCACCCTGGCCACTGTCGTGCCTCACCTGTGTCCTTCAGGGCCTCCTCCCTGGCCTGTCTGTCCTCCTCCTTAGCCAGGTGCAGACTCTCCTGTTCCTGCAGCTCCCGCATCCGTGTGGAATGTTCTCTCCAGGTGCAGCAGGCAGCCCCCAGGAGCAAGACCAGCAGCAAGGGCAGGATGACCAGGAGAGCCGGCTTCCAGGGGGAGACCCGGGGGAAGAAGGGCTCTGCAGACAGACACCCACAGACACCCCATCAGGACACAGCCAGGACCCCCAGCCCAGCTCCCTGGGGTGCCGGCCCCTCCCTCTGGCCCATCAGGGAAGGGGAAGCAGCGCTGACCTGGCATGACCATGGCCATGGCCTTCTCCTGGCCCAGGGTGGGGTTGAGGATGGAGCAGGTCACGCTCCCCACAGCGCTGTCTCTCACCACCAGGGCGGTCTCCACGCTGAACAGCTCCTGAGGGTCCTGGGCCTGGGCCTGGGAGAACCCCAGGAGCTGCTCACCGCGGGGGTCTCTCCACTGCACCTGCGGCTCCGGGAACCAGCCTGAGGCCCTGCACACCACGCGCACCCCGTCCTCCTCTGGCCCGGTGATGTGCACTTGGGGGGCAGAGCCCATACCTGCAGGGGGAGATGAGAGCCGGAGGGGGCAGAGTCCACCTGTGTACACCCCCAGGGGAGGCTGGCAAGTGCATTCTGGGGAGTCTGTGGGAAGCCAACCCCTGTGGGGGATAAAGATGGTGACCCCCAATACAGAGAGCAGAAGGGAGGAACATAAAGCTGGAAGGGCCTGGGCTCCTCCCCAAGTCCCCAGGTGTAGATGGTGCCCCCAGGGGAGGAGAAGGAATTCACATCTGTCTCCAAACACAGCCCAGGAAACAAAAGTTAGGAATAATAACTCAGAGAATTCTTGTGGAAAAGGTACATGGACCAAAATATTCAAAAGCATAAATTAAAATCTGCCATATACTTTTCAAAGATTTATTTTGTTTATTTATGCTGGGGTACAGGCTAGAGGTGAGAGAGGTGGTGAGGATACACCAGAGATAGTGTGGGGAGATCAGGCAAATTTACTGAAACACACTGCTGTGGGGAGCAGCAGGCGAGACAGGAGAGGTCTGCTGTGCCCTGTGTGTCAGCTCCTGGCCAGGGATCGAACTGGGGCTGCAGTGGCTGCGGATAGCTTTAGAGTTTGAGCCTTAACCCCTTGTGCCATCGGAGAGAATCTACCATCCATTTTTAAAAATAAAATCTTTGGTGCCATTCTAGATAGATAGATAGATTAGATAGAGATACAGATATAGAGGATATATACATAGATGTATATATTTCACATTTAAAAAGTTGTGGAATGTGTGTGCTTTATTTATTGTAATCACTCCAAAACTGTTCTCTAGACAAAATGATCTCCCTCCCACCTTCCTGTCATG